GTTTAAGTGTTCCCTTTATTTTTTTGAGCAGTGTAGTATTTTTGTCATAAAAACACGAAATAAACATGCACCAACGGTGGGTCAATTAGTTCTTCAAATGTTACCTTTTAAGTTAATTTTATTGTTTTGTGGAATTAATAATGCTAATATATTGATATTTTGCTAATTTTGATCAATTTTTGCTTCTGTTTAGCGTCGTCACAGTTGCTAGGTGACATGACCTACGCCCGGGTAAGGAGGGGAGGCTAGACCGTCCAAATTCACAGACTCTTTTTTTTTTTTTTCCCCCCGGTCTACCAAGGACCCGGCCCACCATTTTGGACACAGCCATTGTGCAGCTCTAGTCTGAACAGAAAAATGGGCCTTTTTAAAAGAAAAACTGAGTGACCAAAAACAGATATTGAAAAACAAAACCAAAAAAAAAAAAAGGGATGGTTATTCTATTCTCACTTCATACTCCAAAAACATTTTTATTTTTTGTTAACTCTGTCGTTATCGTACCATTTGTGGTGGAGCTAGTTACATGAGTTTTTAACAACTGGTGCTGCCTGTAAATAAACAAACACTACATCTGWTTGCATTAATTTAACTAACTGCAGACTCTAGTTTTTATTAACATAGCTAGTCTAGCTAACWTCTTTTTAGTGCCACCTTAAATGCTCTGATAATGGGATGAATAAACCCATTTTATTTTAGAACTAGTTAACCAGGCRGCYGYTAGCTGACTAGTTTTACATTTCTTTAATGGGTGTCAGCTGAGCTTCTGGTGCTTTTAGCAGATGAAGCTAAGAGGTCCATGATGAGGAACCAGTTCCACAGGACAGCTATGAGTTGCCATGATAACAGTGCAAACTCTCAGTTTGACAAAAGTAAAGTGACGATTTTCTGCTTTTGGAGTATAAAATGAAAATAGAACCATCCATTTTTCATTTCTCTACATCYGTTTTTAAAACAAAAAACRAATGGCCAAAAAGTATGCGGAGCAAAAGCCAAAGCAAGCGTTGATCAGAGGTYGAAGCTGATGTTCAGGCAGAGACAAGTGGTCACTTTACAGACTGAGGGATGGTTGTTCGCTCTGATCCAGTGGCTCACGCAGCACTTCTACATGATTCACAGGGCAAAGAGTCAAACACTGCTGAGAACATCCTGCTACTGGTTGCTGTAGTAAAGGTACAACATGCAGGGTATCCCTTCAGTTTTAATCATTACGACCTGGAATCAAATTTTATTTAATTTGAAGTAATGAACTTGCATTGAAGACTCTAAATTAAGTTTAACAGTGTTCACACAATAACATCTTATGATTACTAAAAAAAAAAAAAACTAAAAAGAATTTAAAACCAGTGATTTCAAAAATATTACTCAAACTTTTCTCAGCTTTATTTTAGACAACCAGTTTGGTTCATTTTGTTTTTAGACAATGTCTTTTTCTGTAATCCCTCTTCCATGAAGCCCAGCTCAGAGCAGGTTTTATTTGAGGTAATCTGACACAGACGGGTGGATTTGACTGATTTCAGGGTTCCTACAGTTTAAGGCAAGTTCAATTTAAGACTTTTAATGCCAAATGAAATTAAATTTAAAATCAATTTCACAAAAAACAAAAAGGACAAAAAAATAAAAACGGTCAGAAACTCATGAATAAAAGTATTTTTGGTTGAAGTG